ACAGAAGCCATGGCACCCAGACCTCAGGGACTCCCTGGGAGGCCTGCTGCAGTCAGCCCACTATAGACGTTAGCACTTGATATCTTATTCTTAAACTCATTCACTGAACATGATGTCCTTGCCTGTCTTTGTGACATGAGAGATAAAGCTCTGCTTGTCTGAATCATTGTGGATCTCTGAGCTGCAATCCTGTGAGGTACAGTGAGTTGCATCTATAAACATTTGCACCAGTGGAGCACAGTCATACCTTTTCTAGATGATGCTTTGGGGAGTACTGAGCAAGAGTATCCTTACTATATAAGTACAAAAATAACACTCTAAATAAATAAATAAATAAATAAATAAATAAATAAATAAATAAATGGACGGGATAAGCAGAGGCACAAACACTGTTGTGTAAAAAATAGTAGCAATAAATCACAAGCCTGTGAAAAATTAATTTGCTATCATTTCATATTGTACATTCTTTAACTTCCCTTATTTATGCTTTAAACCACATCTATTCCTAATTTATCTTATTCTCCCTACACTCTCTGAAAACAAGCCATTTGTCCAGCAATACAAAAACTAAAATGTTCTGCGTGCACAATAGGTGCTTTTAGCAAGTCAGATATGCACAGTTAAGCTGCGCTTGCAGAATTTCTCTTCTGAAAGTGTGGTCAATTGACCATGTACCAGCACTAATTTGTTTCTAACCAGTAAGGCAGGTAAATAGGCTGCGCTGTAGAACAGTGACCACAACCATCATGGCCTGGACACTCTTTCTATTCTCAGCAAAGGGATATTAAAATGTAGAAGCGTATCTCAGCTTAGAACCACACAACAACTCCAGACTCTGCTTCCCTCTAAAGGCAGATTTTCCATTTGCCCTGCATTAAGTTTGATACTTCCATTTAGAAAGCAAGTCTTGTTTTCCTAAGAAAATTCTGGATAAATGGCTTAAAACTAATCTGGGACAAAAATCTTTTAAAGGCATTATGTTGATACCCCAATGAAATGATAATATACATCTGCCCACAATATAAAAATAATCTTTATGGTACCCTTCAAATAGTATTCTTGTTTATAATTTTGTCAGATTTTAGACACTGGCAGGTGCCTTAAAGTTCCCTCTTAAAATAATAATGCTAGAGGGCAGGTGGTAGATTTCTAGGAGATTATTATATTTCTTCAGGCATTAAGCTGGCAGCCTGGTTTTCATAATAATTTCAGTCCTGAGAAACTGTAATTATCCTGAAGCACACTACTTACACTGTCTTATTTCTTAATTATAATGGTGACATGAGATAAATGCATACTTATTGGGATCAAATGCATATTATTTTGTGGTGATTATAAAGAAGTTCTCGTGACAACAATAGCAATTATATGGTCATCAACTACTGATACTATGTTATGTTCTAGAAACTCTGTAATTAAGTCCTGCCAACAGGACACTTCCTATTTGGAAGAAAAAGAAAAAAAAAAAAAAACAAAACCTTAGAGAGAGAGAGAAGTTGGCCAGTGTAAAAATCACTGACAGACATAGATAGATAACCTGAGTCTGTTCCAATGATTCACATGAATCTCAAATAAGGACATTGTATCAACAAACATTTGGGGGATTAAATTTAAATTTCTATCTAAACAAGCTATGTAAAGAATATTCTTTGAAATAGCCTTTCTCTTTTCTGACCTTTAGAATAAAAAGCTTTGAACACACCCCACAGGGGAAAAATGGACTGGAAATATGATAGGAGTGATATTGCCTTCAAAGATAAATCTGCAGGCAATCAGTAATATTCTTTCAAATACTATAATTCATCATTTTAAAAGTTTTCATGTGGTCACCTGGGTGGCTCAGTGGGTCAAGCATCGGCTCAGGTCATGATCCCAAGGTCCTGGGATCAAACTCCCTGTTCCGTGAGGAGCCTGCTTCTCTCTCTCCCTCTGCCTACAACTCCCTCTGCTTGTGTTCTGTCTCTCTCTGTGTCAAACAAAGAAATGATATAGGGCAGCCCGGGTGGCTCAGTGGTTTAGCGCCACCTTCAGCCTCGGGTGTGATCCCGGAGACCCAAGATTGAGTCCCACATTGGGCTCCCTGCTTGGAGCCTGCTTCTCCCTCTGCCTGTGTCTCTGCCTCTCTCTCTCTCATTAATAAATAAAAAACATTTAAAATAAATAAATAATATATTTTTAAAAGTTAAAAAAATTAAAAAATAAAAATTGTCATGTAAGATTCCAAAAATAATTTATCTTGTCATTCCAATTTAAAAGAAAGAAAGAAAAAAATCTTTAAGTTACCAAGATACTGCTTACATAGATTTTTCCACTTTTTCTCTAGACTGATGTCTTTGCCTTTTTTTTTTTTTCAAAAAAAGGCAAAAGGAAAAAAATGATGGATGTCAAACTCTATGTATTAAACTGTTTGGGTGAAGGTGTCAGGTATATCATGTGTCAAATCTGGAAATCAAATGTCCTGGGTTTTAAATTCTGCTCTGCCTTTGACTAGATGTGGGACTTGGACAAGTTACTTAACAATACCTCTGTCTCTTCATCTGTAAAAAGGTACAGTAGCTGTGCCTCTCATAAGAATTATCTGTTAAAGGATTTCATGTATGTAAAGAGCTTAGATTCATGCCTTGCTCATAGCAGGCACTGTATACTTTTTAGGCATTATTTTATGTGATAAAGGGATATGAAGGACAGTGGACCAAGCTCTCCCACTTTCCTTCTCACCTTCAACCATGGTGAGAAGAATCTCTAATCATTTTAATAGGCTTTCCTTAGAGAATTTGTTTTACCATTCTAATACAGCAAATGGAAAGAATTTTTTTTCCAAAGTAAAAAGGGCATTCAATGAACCTGATAGCTTTAAACTTATAACTTATTCTGACAATACTTTGTCAGAGTATTGTTTTATTTTTATTTTTATTTTTTTTAATTCTGGAACAAGTTATGCCTTTCTATTTTCAACACAAAAGGTATCCTCTTTGGACATTTACAGTTATCCAATGACATGTAGGATCTTGGCACAATGTTCTGCAGTGTATGACCTTTACTGCATGGCTAGCATTCTAATCAGGCTGCAATGACATGATATTGGAATGGTTGCTGCAAACCTGTTTTTATTTTCAAAATAGTTCAAACAACCCAAATAAACACACCAAGAAACATAAACCCTCTTTAAAAAGTCAATTAGCATCCATAAAAAAGTTAGCCATGAAACACTTGACTTTCTATATTTTGACCTGTGGGTATTATTTTTCTGGTTAATTTCATATGTTATATTTGTTTTAATGTTATTATTTCTAACCTTCTCTTACTGTTACTTTTCTAATGAAGTTAATAAAGTACTTAATTATAACATGTTAATTTCACTGAACTATTTATAGTTCTAAATAATAAGTAATAAAATAATTTTTTGAAATACATGCCAATATAATGAGATTGAGGAACAAGTACAAATACTGTTTAGGGTAGAAAATTATTAATTTCCTTTTTATGACTTGCATTAGTCATCTCTACAATTAATCTCTACAATTTAGATCAAGAATATACAAATTATCCTTCATTTAATATTTTAAAATTCCAACTACAATCCCTGATGGATTATCAGGAAATATCAGATTATATCTGTGATCACATTCAAAATTTTTGTTGCTGTTTTCAGAGCAATCAATCTGGATTTTACTTCTTCCTAGTCTCTAATATACAAAAATACAATACCAAAATGCTATGAAATTTTTAGAATTAATATAGAGATAGGAAATATTGCAAAAGGATTAATAACTATGGAAGAGTTCTTTGGCTGAATGCAATCAGTTTCCATGCAAACATTAACTATTTCTTTATTGCAGTAAAAAGTCTTCATTAGACCTTTGAGTCTAATTCCAATTTAAATCTAATTCTAGTTCAGTCGATATACAAATCTAAACCAGATCTGGAGCAATTGTTTTATTTTAGAACTAGTCTAATTCTGATTCTTCACTAGCAAAGAAGATAATAGATTGTTCGGTTTGATGATGTTGATTCTAGAATGCGGAAAGACTGATATGGAAATTATCACTATACTTTTAGTGAACAGTGAAGGGGAAAAAAACAATTTGAATTTCCATTTTAATAGTGAGTTTAAGAGTAATTTTAAAATAGAAGTCAAATGTGTGGCTTTTCACTTGTGCTAATCTGTGCAAACTACCATAAGAAGATCCCACAGACTGGGTGGTTTAAACAACAGACATTTATTTTTCTCACCATGTTAGATGCTAGAAATCCATTAATTGAGGTGCCAGAAAATTTAGCTTCTGGTGAGAACTCTCTTTCTGATCTGTAGACAGCAGCCTTCTGGCTGTGACAGAGGGAGAGAGATGGGGGGTTGGGGGAGAAGAAAGAAAACATAGAGAGACAGAGGGAGGAGGAGAGAGAGAGAGAGAAAGGGAGGAAAAGGGGAAGTGAGATGGAGAAAGGAGGAGAGAGGGTGGGAGCAGGGGAGAGAGGATAGAGAGAGAGAGTAAGTACAGGTATTTCTTCCTCTTACAAGGGCTCAAGACCTATCGGGGCACCTGGGTGACTGAGTTGGTTGAGCTCTGCCTTGGCTCAAGTCAAGATCTCGTGTCCTGGGACCTAGTCCTGCATCAGACTCCCTACTCAGTGGGAGTACTCTCGCTCTCCCTCTACTGCTCCCCCTGCTTGTGCTCTCCTGTTCTCTCCGTCAATAAATAAATAAAATCTTTAAAAAAAAAAAAAAAAAAGACCTGTCAAGATTAGGGTCCTGCTCTTATGACCTTGTTTCACTGTGATTACCTTCCTAAAGCCCCAATCTTTGAAAAGTCACATTGGACTTTATGATTTCAACATATAAATTTGGGAGGAACACTGAAATTCAGTTCTTAACACCACGTAAAATGGTAATTGTACTTCTCATGAAATTATAAGATTAGGTGAGGTCCTATCTAGAGCTTCTATGCCATTTTTGAACTTAAGTATGTTATATTTTATGGTCACTTTTATTTATCTTTCAGATCAGCATTTTCATGACCCATTTGTCGAACTATGGGAATGACCGCCTAGGGTTATATACCTTTGTGAACTTGGCCAACTTCGTGCAGAGCTGGACCCACCTGAAATTGCAAACTCTGCCTCCAGTACAACTAGCACACAAGTACTTTGAGCTCTTCCCTGAACAAAAAGACCCTCTTTGGCAGGTAATGCTAAACATTCTCTCTGTAAGGAAGGAAAGAAAACACTGCCTAATTTGTATTAGGAGCTCTGTTGGAGGTATTAAAACTGACATTTAACACAAGGTGCTTTTTTATTCAATTGTTTCATTCTCTTTAAGAACCTTTTTTAAATGGATTAAGTGTATTTTTTGTTTTTCTGGGGTGTTGGTTGCTTGGTTGGTTCTGAATTTTTGCTTTGAGAATGTTGTTTTGTTGTTGGTGTCTTCTCGGTGTTAATCGTTTTGACTCCCACTTAGTGTAAGCATTAACTGGCAGTAAAATGATTAGGCACTGGACATCTAGGGAGATAGAAACCAAGAGCAGTCTTAATCTAAGACCCTCTAGGTAAACCCTGATATGTATGTGTAAACACAGTATAAATAAAAAGGGAAAAGCAATTTTTTATATCATGCTTATATAGATTCTGTCTTTACTATGTCTTCACATTTCTTTTAATCTAGCTAATCTTTCACTAGAACCAGATCTATTGGGAAAAGAAAAATTGCCAGTTTTAGGATTGTTTTTACAAATAATTCAATTCATATGGGAGCTACTGAGCCTCAGTATATGAAAATGTAGACTATTTGCTTCTTAGCAGTTATCTAGGAAAATGCTACCTCTCAGTTTCTTGGTTCTTTATGCATTACATTACATTGACCCACACAATCAATAAGCAGGCTACAGGGAGCAAATCACATAGTTCCCTGCTAAGCAGTTGGTAGAGAAGTAGCATCATCAGTACTGAGAAATCACCGTGAAACAGACTTTTTACCATCCTCTCTCTCTCTCTCTACTCAAGACTCTGCGTTTCTCTTTGTTCTGTAGTTCATGTTACATGCTACTCTGTGTCTATACAGTCAGGAATTCATCCATCACATATTTATTGAGCATCTACTATGTGTAAGGCAAGGCTAGTCGCTTTAGAGAATGCAAAGAATAAAACATAGTATTTTCTCTCAAAGTCAGGGAAGGGTTTCCTTGCTATTCTTATTCACTAGTGTATATTTCAAAATGTGCTTTAAAACTGCTACAGTGAGTCATACTTTACTCTGATAATTTATTCAGGAACTGCGCCATTTGTATTTATGTTGAACTACACATTTTAATTCTTTCACCTTTCTAATAAGTTGCTTGACCATCTATATGTCTGGTGTCTGACTTAGATAAATAGATGAAGACATCATTATCATAGTGTATATAATCATACCAAGTAGCTGCTGGATTTCATAAAGGCAAAGTATAAATGGTATTATTCAAAAGTGCTCACGCACTTATAAAATTGATAAATCATTGATAGTAAATCAATTCTTTTCTCAAACATGTTTATTTATGAGATATCTATAATTCATGGTATGGTAATAATAAAAAGTATCCAACTTAACAAAGGTTGCAAACAGCTAACATATAAAAAATGAGTCAATAGTCCCAAGCTCTAATCTTTCTTTTCCTTTAGAGGCAGAAATTTTATTTTAGATGAAGGATTTGTATCTCTTACGGTTGTGTGAGTTTTTGTTTTTTGTTTTTTGTTTTTTTTTTTTTGAGAATTGTATTTATTGGTACCAGTTCAATATGAGTGACACTATTCCTTTTGGTAAGGAATAAATATAATCAAAGATACACCAGCTCTGGGGCACCTGGGTGGCTCAGTTGGTTAAGCATCCAACCCCTGATTTCAGTTCAGGTCATGAACTGAACGGTGTAAGATTGAGCCCTGTGTCAGGCTCTGCGCTGGGCATGAAGCCTGCTTAAGACTCTTTAGCTCCTTCTCCCTCTGCCCTTCCTTTCTCTCTCTCTGTCTCTCTGTCTCTCTCTCTCTCTCTCTCAAAAAAAAAAAAAGATAGAGATACATCAGCTCCAATATGATTTGGTCAATTTGATGATTCTAAATATTGATTGAATTTTTATTAAATATGAAATACTGTGTTAGTTGATTGGGGGTGTAAACGAAAAACAGGAACAGAAAATAGAACTATTTCTTAGAGAACTGTATCATTTTGAAGATATAAGAACATAAATGTATATAAAACATTTGTAAGTGCTAACAATTTTGAATAGTATCATAGAGGTAAATCCCCAGGTAGTTCTTAATAAATTATAGAATTAATCAGAAAAGGCTTCAGGGTTCATGAGTTTTTGTTACTGCTGTTGTTATTTATATGTTTAGCAATTTTAATATATATTATTGAAATAGCTTACTATAAAAGTATTTCAATAACTTCATAAACATTTACTTTAAAAAATCCCATTTTATCAAGTAAATTACATGGTTTCTTTTGATTGAAAAATAAAACTGCAAGAACTTCTCATTAACGTGCCATATAGTCTCAAATATGTTTAAGAAGGAAAACAAGAAATAAAAAGCAGAACAGTTAAGTTCAAGAGGGTATTATTCAGGTATGTGAGATTTTGAGAGCAGTTAACTTATTGAAGCAAGGCTGATAAACTTTGCCAGTCATAAACCAAGTCCATGAGACTGCAAACGGTTAAATAGAGATAAAGTGCATAATAATGTCTGAGTCCCTTTCCCTGGCAGTTATCTCTTCTTTCCATATTCATATTTATAATGACAAACAGAGCAGCTGTAAGCATTATCATCATGTTCTTTAAACAATATGAATTTAATTTAACAAAAAAAAAGCGTATAAGCATAGCCAGCATTAATTAAATGTTTTATAGCCCACTCATCACAGCCCTACAGAGTTAGGATAGATTAGTATTATGTGTCTGTCATTGTATACATTATCAAAATTCAGATACTTTTTTGTGTTTCTAAGCATGCCTTATTTAGTGTATTTCACTTTTAAAAAGTAAATCAACTGTTATTTTTCTCTAGATTTTTAATTCACACTTTTTTATCACTACAAATAAAAATAAACATGAATAATGGTGATCTTCACATCTATTTAGTTTTCTTTGGTTCTTTATGTAAATTTTCATTAGCACCAACTACTATATATGTGAAACTGCTTTGTCACCTAATTAAAAAGTGCAATATAAATATCTATCAATGGATAGCATGGCAAGTTCAACACAGAATGTGCCTGCGTTCTCTTCACTGGAAGCTGATTTTTTCAAAGCTATTAAATGCGAGAATATATGCTGAGGACACACGTGGAACTCTCTTCCTAAAGTTTATCCTACTTGGTGTAGTCCCTAGTGAGTAAGATTCTTTAAAGTATTCTCACGGGTTCCTGTTAATTCATATCCCTTTTTGTTTTGGAAGAATAATCACTATGAAGCATGGAAGAATAGGATTTCCCCTCCCCCCTCTTTTTTAAAATTCTCATTATAGAAACTCAAACCACAACATGGAGGCATTTAGAAGGTCAGATTTTTGCACATTCGCTAATCGATGCTTTTAAGCTCTCAAGCTGTCAGGTTAGCTCAGCCTCAATCTTCACTCAGCCACTCCAGACTCTCACTATCAACAAACATGCCAAACATGATGTGGATTTCTGCTTGCCTGTGTGACCAAGGGAATGCTCAAAGAGCTGCAGTTTCTTTCTCTACATGCCAGTATCCCCAGGATTAAAGAAGTAGGAAAGAAAATCACAGGGTTCTAACCTGAGGAGGTTAGCACCTTTGTTGACTCTAGCTGTGAAATCATCCAACTCCAGCTTAGAAATGATGAGATTTGGACATCAATGACATAAACAAATCCCAAGGTCTAGCACCATACACACTGTAGGTTCTATTATTATAATGTCTGTTAAAGGAATAAATAAATTCTACCACAGAGAATTATAGATTATAAGAGCAGGAGAAGAAGTTAGAGACATCCAGCCCAGCATATTTATTTTAGAGAAGACATAGGTGACACCTTGGGAAGTGAAATATCTTGTTCTAAGTCACTAGGATTATTATGGACAAGTCAGGAGTAAAGCTCACGTTTTCTTATTCCGACGCCAGTGTAGTTCCAGCCACACATCAAGATGGTAGTTTTACATTCAGAAAAATAAATCTACTGCTATCATCAACCCTCTCTGTAGGATGAAATTTCAGGCATACCTTGTTATTTTAGAAGAATCTGGTGATGTATTCAGAGTGAATTTGTTTGACCTACACTTTTGAAGTACCTACATAATAGAAAGGTCTTTGCTTTCATAGAACTTACAAACCATAATAGCTCTTAGTTATGTGAACAAAATGACATTATAAGTTTGTTTTCATATTTATTCCTCTTTTCTACTCTCTACCTTATTTATGACTCTATTATTGCACTTACCATATGGTCTTGCAGACACTTTTGCCTGTCATATACCAGCTCATGCAAACTTTAAGATGTGAGAATATGTTTATTCATGCTTGTAACCTAGAACCTAGCACAGTACCATAGCTACTGTCATTAAAATCTCTTGAATGAGGGCAGCCCCGATGGCCCAGCGGTTTGGCGCCACCTTCAGCTCAGGGTATGATCCTGGAGACCCAGGATCGAGTCCCACGTCAGGCTTCTTGCATGGAGCCTTCTTCTCCCTCTGCCTGTGTCCCTGCCTCTCTCGCTCTCTGTGTCTGTCATGAATAAATAAATAAAATCTTTAAAAAAAATCTCCTGAATGACTAAGTGAAAGCAGAGGTATGTGCACAAAGAAGTCAAAGTGACACACTTGTTTCTTAGAGAACAGTAGGGATCCAAGAGAAGAAGTAGGGATCCAAGGGAAATAACCTCAAAAAGCACATACAAGTCAGTTGGGAAATCTTTGGATACCATCAGAGTAATCTGGATGTGATTGGCAACAAAGAGCAAGTATGTGTAAGTTCTGAAGATGAGTAAAGTAATTTTAAAAAAAGGATTAACCAATAAAGTTTATACCAGAAACCTTTTTTCCAGGACAGGTAAGAACAGGGAGATACTAATATTTGGACAATAATCCAGCCATGAGAGAGGGAAACCCTGAGTAGCTTCATGGTTGGGAAAAAGTGGGACCTTTGAAGAAGTGGTAGTTGTTTGTGAGACACTGAGATAAAAGGAAAACTGATCTGTAAGT